TATATATATATATATATATATAAAGAGTTGCATCTATGTCTTGTATCTCATTGGGTGTGTCTTTCTTGTTTATTTACTTAAAAAGGCTACCCATACATCGACTGTCTCTATTGATATCATCTTTTATGATGAATGTCCCTCCCTACTACCATCCTTCACTCTTAATGTTCCATGTCCTCGTATTGCATTGGTGACTACTAGTCGGCTTCTTTTTTGCCTCCTAGATCTCTTTCCATAATGTCTACTATGATGGGACATCCACCTACAATTGAGGCTTCAGATCAACTTTAGCATTTATGCATGAAAAGGACTACCCTATTGCACCGAAAAAAACTATTGTACCACATTTCATCCTCTGATCATCCTCTTTTTTCTGTCCGTTTGACTTGTCCTTATCTATTATTTATATTCCCAAATTTTCGTGGAAACTCTAGTGTTATCTTAATTGGAAGCATGGGATAGATCTAATTATATCCACTACTACAATTATACTCATATGATTTTGTTGGACCCTAAGTATTATGTTCCATTCATATAGGTCTATTAACCGCCACAAAACTTGATAGTGAAGTGAAATGGTTGGGGAAAGCTTTAATGTTATTGTATCTTAATTATTTTGTTCTCTTAGCTGGGGCAACCCTAGGGACTTTTCATTAATCAAATGATGATTTTGCCCCACTTAGTTGAATTGACCTGATCAAGCTGACCAAAGGCAATGTGGCCTTATAGCACTGTTACTGCTACCTGTTGATTACTGCATGCAGGCCTAGAACTGGCACTCACACTTCTAACTTAGCTGCTTTTTTTACAAATCTATGTAAATGGATTCATCTCCATTTGCTACAAACCTATGGCAGTACGCTTCGTTGTTTTTTATCCATTAATGGGCAGTAGTTGTGCAAAATCTTATTTATTTTTCACGCAGGGTACAAAGGTGCCTTTTTTTTTTACTCAAAAGGTCGTGGCTTGGAAAAATGTTAGACGACTTTGACTTCATGAGGTTGAACTTACCATCTTTCTGACTTAACACTGCACTTCCTGATTGAATAATGCAAAAAAACTGATTTAACACTGCATAGTTGGAGCAAAGGTACCTTTTCTTTACTCAAAAGATTGCGGCTAGGAAAAATGTGAGAGATGATTTCGACTTCGTGACGTTTAACTTTCCATCTTTCTGACATAACACTGCACTTCCTGATTGAATACTGCAAAATAAGTTGATTTAGACGCATACTTGGAGCTAAAACACTACTTGTATGCAAAATATTACTGTGGCAAATTCTTCATTGAGTGGAAGGGGGCGAGCTTTGCTTGCTCCTTTCTCCTATTAAATCTCAATCCTTAAATTTTAAGGATGAATGAAGAGTGCATATGCTTAAGTTTAATAGTAGCATTGGAACAATTAATTTGATTTTTGCTTTTGGAAGTATACGTGTTTCTAGCTTGTCTTCCATTTGATTTGATTATATTGCGTATAAGCATAAATTGTTTGGTTTCTTTCAACTAATAAAAAGCATGAGCCATTCCTCTTTTTTGTGGTTAGTGTCTCAAACAAAACAGCCTTTTCTCTTAGTTTATTGGATTCGAGCAAAGCCTACTCTATACTATCTGCTGAAAGCTCAGGCTCAAAAGACGCTTGCCCACTTCCATCTCATTAAATCAACTTCCACCAGGCAACTTAACCAATTTTTTTATTATACAGGTTTATGCAGTCTGGAAAATATAAATCTGTCCTTTACAATGGTGACTGATAGTGGCTTGAGAAAGTTATCAGGGTTGACATCAATTAGATCACTGAATCTTGATTCTCGCCAAATAACAGATGCTGGCTTGTCAGCCCTTACAAGTAGGTCATTTAAAAGGCATGTTGCATGACAATTTAACATCTGTTCTGGAGTTTAGTTTATTCAATTTAGATGCTTTGTACATACATGCATGCAAGTCTTGCTTATATATATATATATATATATATATATATATATATATAGA